GGACAGGTCTCAGTCCATCACAGGGACACCTGGACAGGTCTCAGTCCATCACAGTGTTACGACTGTCGTTGTATAGCTGTGTGTGTGCATCTTAAATGTGCATGAATTAGTGTCCAGGTACTCTGCTGTGATTGGAGGAAGACACCGAGGAGCTAAACCGTGATTGGGCGGCTGTGGCTGAGTGGTTAGAGCAGTCGTCCTCCAATGCAAGAGTTGGGGGTTCGATTCCTCCAGCAGTCGCATGCCAAAGTGTCCCTGGGCAAGACTGAACCCCTCACTGCCTCCAGTGTGTGTCCCATCGGTGCATGAATGTGATAAAGCTCTGATTAATCTTTGTAGAGATCTAGTATAGAGCTGTATGAACGGGTAAACGAGGCACAGATTGTTGTAAAGCTCCGAGTGTCTTGATAAGACCGAAAGGAGCTCTATAAGTACAGAACATTTACCACTGGCTACCTGATGAGCGGTGCTACATAAAATAAGCTGCAGGAGTTCATGTTAATATGTTAAAGTGTTACGTTTCCAGGGAGACCTCAGAAAATAAAACTCCAGAAGATGCTCGTGTTGTTTCTGTGTGCTGCTCCGTCACATCATCCAGCTAAAGATGAGCTAACAGAAAACTGTAGCTGAAGTGATGGGAAACTGGTTTCTGTCCCAGCTGTCTGAATCTGCTCAACTTATCATCCACTAAAGGAAGCTCTCTGACGTCCTGTCTCCTGATGTTGACAATCAGATGCAGCCGCAGTAAACTCAGCTAAACGTGTTCAAATGCAGCAGGAAGTGAATTCTCTGGTTTAGCCATTCAGTAAAAGAGAGCCTGGAGTTACTCCTGGATTTTTGGTGCCAGAACTTCCCATTATACTGTATTTCATGTCAAATTTAATAATTGGTTTGATTTAAGGGCGGCACAACTGGTAGAGCTGCTGCCTCTCAGTGAGCAGGTCGCTGGTTCAAATCCTGGTCTGGGGCCCTTTCTGGATGGAGTTTGCATGTTCTCTCCGTGCATGCGCGGGTTTTCTCCAGATACTCGTTTCCTCCCACAGATCAAAAACATACATGTTAGACTGACTGGTAACTCTAAATTGTCCCTAGGTGAGAGAGTGAATGGTTGTTTGTCTCTATGTGTCCCTGTGATGGACAGAGACCTGTCCAGGTGTCCCCTGCCAATTGATGGACATGGGCACCGGTGAACCCCATGATCCAAAAAGGAAGACGTGGGTAAAACATAATGGATGGATGGGTTTGATTTAAACTGAATAATTTATAACTGAAGAGTAAAAACATCTGATGGTGAAAACCGAGTTAGAGGTGAGTTTTTTTACAACGTGGAACCACACCTGTACAAAAAAGTGTTACAGTTGAAATGTTCGTAATAAAAGTGTTCTTAATGTGGATTCAAACTTATACAAGTATATTTGAAATGTTGTCCATCCGGTCCCTGTGTCCTCATCCGGTCCCTCTGTAGAAAGTCTCACACGTGGCAAAGAGTCAGAACTTTTCACGAACTTTCTCCTGTTGGACAAAATCTTAGGGAAAAAATCTCTGTTCGTTCGTTCCAATTGTCTGCTTCCGATTGGCTGGTTTTAATGTCAATCAAACCGTTCGGGCTTCTGATTGGCTGAACTCTCGGGAAGCGTCTTCTCGAAGCCCGTGTTGACACAGGGGCTCGGAGCTCCAAGTCTCGCGATATTTGAGTCCAGGGGAAGCTGATGGAGTTGGGCCGGTTCGGGGAGCAAGAAGCGGATGAATAACGGGTTTCAGTCCGAATCAAGCGGGTTTTAACGAGTTTATTGGGACAGAAAAATGTCCTCCTGGTATCTTCTCTGCCTCGGGACTCTCTGCGTCCTCAGCTCCGTGTGGGCCGATCGGCGGAAGCTGAACCCAGGTAAGGCCGTCCCTCAGGCTCCTCGGGTCGGCCAGGCGGACCACCGTGAGCCGCTGCAGCTCCGGAGCTAACTGAGGCTAATTACTGAGATAAAAACTGAAATAAATGATTTAATTTAGTTTAACTGGTTCATTTAAGATACGAGGAGGGAAACTCAGGCCTGACTTTATTCAGAAAATAACACAAAATTAATTTGGAGTTAAAGACAAAATGTGAAAACTGTAAAAGTATTTACAACTTTTTGGTCTTACTATTTTAATTACACACCAATTTAAACATCTTAGTTTGTTTTGTTAAAGTTTGTTGAATAATAAAATATTGCAGCTGGTACTAAATGAAACTAATAAAATAATTAGTCAGTTTAATTAATTCATTCAACCTTTGTTTATTAATTTACTTCAATTCAGTTTATTTCTAAATCACCAAGTCACAACAGAATCATCTCAGGGACTAATAATAATTTAACAGAAACATTCATCTATAAAATAATAATTTAACAGAAACATTCAAATATAAAATAATAATTTAACAGAAACATTCATCTATAAAATAATAATTTAACAGAATCATCTCAGGGACTAATAATAATTTAACAGAAACATTCATATATAAAATAATAATTTAACAGAAACATTCATCTATAAAATAATAATTTAACAGAAACATCCATCTATAAAATAATAATTTAACAGAAACATTCATCTATAAAATAATAATTTAACAGAAACATTCATCTATAAAATAATAATTTAACAGAAACATTCATCTATAAAATAATAATTTAACAGAAACATTCAAATATAAAATAATAATTGAACAGAAACATTCATCGATAAAATAATAATTGAACAGAAACATTCATCTATAAAATAATAATTGAACAGAAACATTCAAATATAAAATAATAATTTAACAGAAACATTCATCTATAAAATAATAATTTAACAGAAACATTCATGTATAAAATAATAATTGAACATTATTTATGTGAGGAGCAGCTTTGACTTTAACTCCATCACTGAACTCTCATCTTGAACAAGCATGAAGGCGACAGTGGAAAGAAAAACTCCCTCATGAGGAAGAAACCTTTAGCAGAACCAGGATCAGGACAAGAGGACCATCTGCTTCCACCGGCTGGGTTTGGTAGGAATAGATACACAATGGCAGGTCAAGAATCACATGTTAAGATAGAAATAGTATCAAATGAAAACTGTTCAGTTTTAACAATTCATTAAAGGACATGAGTCAGTTTGTCCTCTAGTAGTCTAAGTCTATAGCAGCATAACAAGCCGACCCTAACTATAGGATTTATCAAAAAGGAAAGTCTTAATCCCAGTCTTAAACTGGACAATGTATAAATCAGAAATAAAGAAAATAAAAGTCAAGTGCATCCCTAAAGTCACTGTTTCTGATAAATTGTCACATGAATTATCTGATCTGTAGTTTAAAAACGATGATGTAAAAGTGGACGAGTTGAACGAGGAACGTCTCTAAACGAGTCGTTGAATCAGGTGTTTACTCGTGTCGGTAAATGTAGACGTTTAACAACCTGTTAAAATACTCTAGAATGCAACAATCTACTTTATTCTAAATGTTCTGGAGGAGGAGACCCCCCCCCCCGCACACACACACACACACACACACACACACATTAAATGCTTCTGGCATCAATGAAATGAAGAAAACGTACAAAACTTCACAACAGGAGACAAACTGATCATCTGTTATTGATTGATGTCAGAAAATCTGCTGATCATCACCGCGGCAACGGAGGAGACAGACGGCTTCAACCGCTTCATGAGGACGGCCAGAGAGTTCAACTACACCGTGAAGGTAACACACACACACACACAGAGACACACACACA